GCCCAGCCTTACACTCCTTGCCAGTGTATTGAGCCTTTTTTGTTGGCTTCTTGCCTTCTAGGTAGCGATGGTGGTAGAATTGATGGGTTAGGTTTACGGGCTGTGTCCTGCATGCCTGAGTCACAATACTGAAAATGATAAATTCCTTATGTTGCACTTAAATGGGGATGGTCCTTAAAAGCAGTATTTGTTTAAAGACACTGTCATCTGAGGAGGCAGCCTGGCTTGTTGGCTAAGCAGCAGTTTGAGGAAAGCCTGGGGACCTGTTTTGATCCCAGCTGTGCCACTAAAATGTTTTTTGGTGACCCTGGGTAAGTCACTTAACCTTACTTACAGCATTCTTAAAACAACCCCTGAGGTTGTCATGAAGAGCCTTGGGGGAAAAAAAATGTTTTTAGCAAATAAGCTCAGGTCCCCCACAAGAAAGGTTAAAGGTGGGGGTTGTTTTGTTTTATTTTGTTTTTAGCTGCACGACATTTCTTTTTCTTCGGGTCTCTTAGTCCAAATGAGTAGTCTGTTTAGTGGAAACTTATTAGTTAATGGAAGCTCTTTGGTGGTAAATCATTGTAAATTGGCAATTGCTCTGGCGTGCCGAGCTTGAGAGGCTCTATTCCCATTCTTTCAACAAAAAATCAGCTGTGGTCTCTGACCTATTTATTTGGAGGTAACTGCCAAGCGTAAAAAAGATTGGGAAAGCATACAGTTTCACTGGTCCGTACCCTGGACTGGGACATCCTCACTCATTTGGAAAAAGCTTCTTTCTCCTTTAGTTTTTCTTTAGTGCTCTTACATCAGCTAACATACTAGTTGCAGTTGTACTTTGCACAGACACTAATTAGAGAGCCATCAATATTGGGGTCCAAAGGCTTACTGACAATGCAACTGTCATAGTGGTGCCTTAATTGGTTGAGTGTAATTGTCATTAGGCAGCGATAAAGACATCTGGAGCTCTGGAGGAGAATCAGTTTTTTCTTCCTACCTCCCTTCAATATCTGTTCTTGCTTCTCCTGGCCAATGTTGTTAAGCACTTTTAGATCGCATTTAGGGTTTGGTCCAGTTCCCTCTGCTCCAACCATCGTTTTACCCTCATGCAAATATCTGTTTCTTTAGCACGAGTTCATTAGCACGGGTTCTGAGCTCCATTATTCTGGCTGCTCTCACTTGCGTTAGATTCTAGAGCCTGGCGCTGAGTCATCACATGGTACCTGCTGAAATGGTATGTATTCTCTGTTCCCCTCCAAAAGGAGACATGGAGTCTTTTATATTTTCCCTCCTGAGTCATTTGCATTATACTCTTCTGCTCTTTGGCCATGGGAGTTAATTTAAATGGATATCTTTGAAAGTGTTCTTTACCAAAATAATTTAGCTTATCTTGTGCTTTTATAGATATTTTAATCAGTTTGGAAGTAAATATAAGGAGTTTAACACCTCTCGATGTGTGTGTTCGGAGTGTTTCACTGATCACAGCAGTGGAAGGTGAGCAGTAGAAGTAAAAGGCGCCACTCAAACCAGTCAGGTTGTTACTTGTGGACACCCCCTTCCAGTCATTGGTATATTATATATATTAGCTATGTGTAAGGTGCTGTGATGGAGATACAGCATTGAGATATGGCCTTCTCGGGGACTTGACAACCAAGTGGAGATGTGGAATGTAACGAACGCCATTTCTTCAGATACAGTGGTAGTTGAGCCAGAGAAGGCTTCATGGAGGAAGAGGGTCTGTGCTAAACATTGAGCGGTTGGTAGGCTTGGGCTAGGTCAGTTGGTTCTCAGTCTTGCCTAAACATTGGAAACACTGATGCCTGGTTCCACTCCCAGAGTCAGATTTCAGTGGCCTGGGCGTGCTTTGGGCATCAGGAGTTTGGAAAGCATCCCAGGTGATTCTCATGTGCAGCCAATGTTGGGATCCACTGGGCTGGGTTGTCAGGAGGGAAAGTACTCCAGAAAGGTGGATAACGTGAGCAAAGATGCAGAAGCAAGAGTATATGGAAGCCAGGAATGACAGACTTGTCCGGAGACAGGTTCATGCTTAGGAAGAACAGAGAATGAGACTGGGGAGAGGGGCAGAAGCTAGTTTGTGGAGGGATCTCTGTGCTAGGCCTAGTAATTAAAATGTCATCAATAAGATGTTAAGGCTTGAGTAGCTAGGGGGCTTTCTAAGTGTTAAGTGCTGTTCTAGTCTGATTCAGAACTTCTAGTTGTTGGGCTCATAGCTGTGAGCAAGACCCAACCCCTGACCTTAGAAGCTTATAGGTTCCTGGGGAGCTGAACACACACACGCACACACACACACACACACACACAGTTGCTGTGAGAAAAGTGTAGGCTAGATCACAAGGGGACATGGTCCAGTGTGAAGGGGAAGGGAGGACGAAGAATGATTATTCGTGTCGTCAGGTACTTTTGAGGGCTTGGCTTGTGCAGGGCTGATGGTGGGTGGGGGGAGGCTTGGGACTAAGGGGCCCTGAGGTGCTGAGGGGTTTGGACTGGGGCAGCATCCCTGGGGAAGGGAACAGAGAGGACGTGGCCACCGGAACACAGAGGTCAGTGGGCCTGGGCCGGGGGCGGGGGCGGGGGGGCCGTGAGGGGATGCAGAGAAGCCGCTCAGTTTTGCACCAGGGGCTAGGACTGATGCGGTCACTGAGGAAAGGAGGGAATTCAGCAGTGGGCTAGTGTGTGGTGGACTGAAGCCTTTGGAGGAGAACCTGGGTTTAATCTAGACACTCGGCATCTCAGGGCGAGGACAACTCTTTCTGTGCCGGAAAAGCGCTGTGAGGCTCTGGTGGACATTAATAGAGCGCTCTTCTCTGCGGGAGCCTGCCGGTGATGAGAGCGAGTGGCAGCTTGGATCTCACCACTCCCTGCTGTGTGGGGTGCAGCAATTCATCAGGTTCTGGTTTTGTGGTTTTGCCTCGGAACTCTGTAAAGGGGCTTTGGGGCTGGAGCTTAGGCTCCTGAAATGCTCTCCTCTGTACCCCTCTGCTGGCCATGGGGGCCCCTGATGGGGTGCACAAAGGGCCTTGCGAGAGCATGTGCAGCTGCTATACTGGTCATCAAAGGAAAGGAAATACGTTCCCAAGTCCCAGAGTTCTCAGACCCCTACACTTGCTTTCTGTGTCTTCCTTTCACTCCTCGTCTCTGTATTTCTGATGGTGTCACCATCCCTCTCACCTTTTTTTTTTTTTTTGAAATGGCTCCTTTTACATAAAATTTAAGAATCTAATCATGCACAGTCTAGACGTTCAAACATGTTATCTCTGTTCAGTGTCTCTATAGCTAAGCAAGTGGCCTTTCTCCAGGGAATGTCTGAGTTGTTTTCTAGGGTGTCAAGGTGAGCCTGGTGGATTTGGCAGAGTCTGTGTTCTCGTATAGGGTTCCTCATTAAGAAGGGTGATCTGGAATGCTGCCCGGAGGACCTGGGAACCAGTGGCCGTGTTTTGGCCACGGTGATATCAATATCCACCCTTGCTTGTGCATCGCCAGGCTTAACAACACTCGTGGAGCGAGCGTTCCCATTTACTGGGGCATCAATGGTCGTGCAGAGTTACTTCAGTCCAATTTTAGAAAGCACGTCTCTCTTACTGGCTCTTTACACCACACGCGCACTCCCCAGGCATTGTCTTGCAAGGGGAGAGCCGAATTCTCCAAGTGAAGGAATTTGTGTGACAAAATCACCTTTGAATCACATAATATATTTACTGTCAATAATTTGAGGGAATTACTGCTACATTCAGTAAATGAAACACTCCTTTATCAGAATGTTCTTAGTTTTTTTAGATACAGGTATATATTTTTAAAAATTTTATTTGAGAGCATGCGCATGAGCAAGGGGAGGGGCGGAGGGAGAAGCAGGCTCCCCGCTGAGCACGGAACCCAATGTGGGGCTCAATCCCAGGACCCCGGGTTCAGGACCTGAGCCAAAGGCAGATGCTTAACTGAGCCACCCAGGGTTCCCTCTTAATTTCTCTATTAAGGAATCTCACGTGAGAAATCGATCTCTACTTCATAGATGTGATAGATTTCAGTAGTTGAATACATTTCAGAGATTATCTTGAGTCTTTATAGTTTTAATGTGGGATCCAAGAAACCTGAAGGAACTATGGCTAGGGCCTCAAGACTGTGAACCTGCTTAAAATTGTGTGCCTGTCTTTGTGGGGTACATCATTAGACTCTTAAAGCATTTCTAACACGCCTCCCCATGGTTAGTTGATTTACATGTTGAACCAAATTCTCTGTAGCAGATGTAAGGAACTTAGCATAAATACCTCGATGGCAGGCAGCACACCACCTCGTCATCTGGTCGTTCCATTATCCTGGTGTCTGAGGGGCCTGATGTCTGAGCAGGTTCTGGCCCTGCCTTGGCTTTGATGGAGAGAGTCATTTGTTGGAGTGGCAGTAGTAATAGGAGAGAGTGAGTGCTCCTATAATCTAAGGGGGCAAAACCGGGGAGTGTCATGCGTTTCGGCAAGAGCTTTTCATGAGAAGGCAGCATTGTCTGGCTGCTAAAGGCAAGACTTAATTGTTTCAGCAAATCAATTAGTCTTTAGGGACTTTAATCAGTCAAATCTGATGCATGGATGAGGCATTAGAAAGCTCGTGCCTGTAAGACCATTAGTCCTTAGCATTTCTCTCGGTCTGTCTTTAGTGTATGTGTGTAAATATGGTGGCTTCTACAGATTTCTGCTAGTGATCCCTTTGCTGGGAGAACACAAGGTAGTAGATTGGTTATGCTAGCAGAAGGGAGACCTTGATACCCCGGGCTGTAGTACAGTGTTCTCATTTGGATTGTCACCATTGTGCCCTGTGAGAGCAGGAACCATGTTCCCAGCCTTCTGTCATCTCGGTGACATTTTCTCCTTTTGGAATTACTCATCTAAACGGCATTACAGGAGTGGTCCCCAAATCTTATTTCTCTGTTGTTTTAAGGCTCTCCCTGTTTTCTCTACCATGGCCCTGCTCTCCAGTCCCCGTTTGGAACCAAGTGTGCCCTTCTTTTCCAGATATACATCAGGGGACGTGAGGGTGTGGGACACCCGCACCTGGGACTACACAGCCCCTTTCCTGGAATCAGAGTATGAGGAGGACGAGCCTGGAATGCAGCCATATGTCTCCTTTGTGAGGATAAACAGCTCGCTGGCGGTAGCCGCTTATGAGGATGGTAAGTAACTGCAACCCTCCTCCCTATTAAGGAAAAAAAAGCTTTACAAAAATTAAGCAGCTGTGGCCGGCTCCCCCCCTGTAATCCCTCCATACATACACGTGGGCACACACACATGGTCACACACATAGACTCGCTCTTGCCTTTATGTGGAGAAGCTGGCCAATAACCCCTCCATGCATTAGTAGGCGATGGAGCACAGAACCCAGTAAGACTGGGGTTTAATTCCTACTGGAACTGGCGGGCTGGGTTTCAGTGCCAGACACGAGGCTGGCCAAGGCATCTTAAGCAAATAGCTTGTTTGGTATAAAATATTAAATATACTTGGCCTACTTTTCCTTTAGTCTCTGCTCAGTCCAAAGGGAACAGGGAAAAGGGGGGACAGATAGATAATCTGTTGACAAATATGGAAATAGAAAAATAAAAGTCAGTGCCTACCTTTTCCCGGCACTTACATACCATACAAGATAATTTATGGTCCTCTGTTGTCTCTCTGGGATTGATAGAATTCTTTTTGTGTATGAGCAACCGTGGACTTACAGAACTAGGTGAGAGAAATCTAAAATTATATTTACCTAAGTCATGAAACACCTGTCAGTTTGTAGCTAATAGGAATCATAATTTTGATGGCTATGATATCCTATGCTCCTAAGTTCCATTATGTTGTGACGTTGGAATCCCCAAAAGCTTTGTTTCCCCACTTGCCTGAGTCGGACCGCGAAATATTTTGGAATGTTAGTCTTCATGTCATGGCACTGTTGCAAATCTTTGGAGTCAGTGGAACCACCACAGAATCCATGGTTGGTTCAAAGGGACAAAACTGTAGTAAAGTAGCTAATGGGCAATTTTATATCTATATGTCACTTAAAAAGTAGAGCTGAAGTCTTGAAAATATTTTCAGTGTACTACTTTAACAACATGAACTCTGTTCTTTCAGTTTGACATTAGTTAGAGCTCCTTGGTAGATTTTCTTTTCAGCCTCTAGAAATTCAGCTAAGCTCTTTCTGCAGTATACAGTATTTCCCGTACGTTTGTTGAGCTCTGGGGTAGATAACATAAGATCGGCTTGAGTGTGTTTGCTACTTTCCAAATTGCCAATGAGTTTCTCTAAAAAATGAGTATGCAAAGGTTGTAGTACAATTAGAATCCCACACCCTCTGCTAGCCTCCCCCGGCCACACACATACCTGTGCACACACACATTCTTCAGATGGCGAACCTGGGGCCCAGAAAGATCAGCTAGGTGGTTTGCTTGAGGCTGAGTTGTGAGTCCAGTAGTGAATCCAGAAGTGTGACTGTGTGTCCCAGGCCACACCGGGGTCAGAGTGCATGCTTTATGTGCTGCTAAACACAGATGCTGGCAGAGATTGTGCGCCTGATTGATCGGCAACCCCACGCCTCCTATCTTGGAAGCTTGAAGACCCAGCTTGAGGAGATGGGATCGTGTGCTGCCGGTTTCCCATCATTGGCCAGAAGTGTTTGTTCCCCTCCTTCCTCTTGCACAGAAACATTGGAAAACCGTGTAGATGGGAGAGAGAAACTACCTTCTTTGGCAAATACTTGGTAAATAATGGCCAAAATGTATTTTTAAAACTTGATTTAAAAAAATATAGTTAACATTCAAACAGAGCAAAAAAAAAAAAGTATAAAATATAAAAGAAAACATATCCAAAAGGAAGCTGAAGTGCTTCTCCCTTGCCCCCTGCCTCCGTCCCTCCCCTTGCATGTCTTCTACACGGGTCCTACGCTATGTACTTCTCTGCACCTTGCCCGTTTTGTTTTTAACACAATGACACATCTTGGTATCTTTCTGTATTAGCACTTACAGGTAAACCTGATTCTTTTTTTTTTTTTTAATAATTTTTTTATTGTTATGTTAACCACCATACATTACATCATTAGTTTTGGATGCAGTGTTCCATGATTCATTGTTTGTGCATAACACCCAGTGCTCCACGCAGAATGTGCCCTCTTTAATACCCATCACCAGGCTAACCCATCCCCCCACCGCCCTCCCCTCTAGAACCCAACCTGATTCTTTTTGAGCCTCAGTACTATGGCACGATGTGGTTGTACTTATAATTTATTAGAGCCCTTAATGATGCACACTTGGATGGCTTATTTTTGTTATTAAAAACAGTTCCTCAAATACCATGATGGACTTGTGCAACTATATGGGGTAAATTACTAGTAATTACTGGGTTGGAGGCTACACATGCTTTATGTTTTAATAAACATTACCAAATCGCCCTCCACAAAGGTTCTCCCAGTGAATGGTCGCACCACCGTGTGTATGAGAGTGGTGGCTTCCTCACACTGATCTGATAGATGGAAATGGCACTTCACTGTTGTCTTTGTTTGCCTTTCTTTATATGGATAGGTGAACACCTTTTCATATTTTTTTTTCTATTTCTCTGCAAATTGCTTGTTCCCGTCTGTTCTCATTTTTCTCTGGGTTGTCTTTTCTGATTGGAAAGGGAAATAGCCCTTGCCATACCTATTTTAAATGTTTTTTTCAGTTGGTTAGTTATTCTTCAGTGGACTTTGTTTATGGTTCGTTTTCTAGATGGTAGTTGTAGATGTGTATAATTTTTTTTAATCCATAATTGAGTGGGTTTTATTTTATAATTTAATGTTTTTGACTAAATACTACATTTTTAGGGATGTAAGATCAGACTCATAGAAACGGTTACACATTGAGAAGTCTTGCCTTTTTTTTTTTTTTTGAAAGATTTTATTTATTTGACAAAGAGCACAAGCAGGGGAAGAGGCAGAGGGAGAAACAGACTCCCTGCTGAGCAGGGAGCCCGACGTGGGGCTCGATCCCAGGACCCTGGGATCATGACCTGAGCCAAAGGTAGATGCTTAACTGACCGAGCCATCCAGGTGCCCCGAGAAGTCTTGCTTTTACCCATTTTTGTCCACTCCATTCTAAAGCAACCATATATTTTAGTTCTTTGTCTATCCTTCCAGTATTTTTTTTTTAAGATTTTATTTATTTTACTTTTGAGAGTGAGTGAGAGACAGAGAAGGAGCAGGGGGAGGGGCAAAGGGAGAGGGAGAAGCAGACTCCCCACCGAGTAAGGAGCCAGACATGGGGCTCGATCATGGGACTCCAGGATCATGACCTGAGCCAAAGGCAGATGCTTAACCAACTGAGCCACCCAGGCACCCCTATCCTTTCAGTATTTCTGTGTTGTAAATATGAATATTCGTATTCTCCCCCTCTTTTTCTTAAATGAAAGATAGCATATTACTTTATATTATTCCACACGTTGTCTCTTTTCACTTAATATCTGTCTTGAAAGCTTGTCCATGTCCGTATATAGAAAAACAGCCTCCTTCCCCCGTCCCTCCCATACCTGCATAGTATTCCATGTGTACAAGGACTGTGGTTCATTTACACAGCCCCTTACTGAGGAATAGTTGTGTTTCGGACCTTCTGCTATCACAATGTAGCAAAAAAACCTTACCTATGAGACATTTCATGTGAGTACAGGAATGGTAGTTTCCTCTAAAATTTATGAATCCAAGGATAAATGCAGATGGGGTTATACAATTTTGCACCCTCACCAGCAAGGTGTGTAGGTATGCCCATTTCCTCACAGATTTGCGAGCAGACTGTTTCAGACTTCTAGGTACTTGTCAATTTGATAGATTAGAAATGGTATCCAAATGTAGTTTCAATTTACATTTCTCTTAGCCTAAGAATTGTTTTCATATTTGTACCTGCTACTCGTACTTCTTTCTTCTAATAAGCTATGGCTTATTTTTCACACTTGGATCTTGACCAATATAGAGTTTATCCTGTGACAGTATAAAATATGAATCTGAGAACAATTTTTCCAGCATCTCTTATTAAAAGCACATCACTCCCTACCTCACTGGTTCAAGGTGTTGCTTTTATAAGTTTTTAGATGTGAGATCCTCTTAGTACGCAGGTCTGTTTCTGGATGTTATGCTTCGTCTAGTTGCTTACGTTTATACCATCACGTTGGTGTTGTCTTTCTGGGTTGCACGGCAGGCTTAGGGGGATCTCCCATACTCCAAGCTAAGGTTAAATCTATAGTACTTACATCGTTTATGTTGAAATCTTTGGTCTCAAATTCATTTGGGGATTAGGATTGTGTCTTCGGTGAGAACTCTTGCATTTTTACTTCTCTTCTCACTCTGAGCTTGTTTTACCAGTCTGATTGGGGCTTTACTATTTCTGGGATACATGACAGCTTTTCATTTTTCTCCCAGACCTCAGGTGGCATTGTCTTTGGTCTCACTTCATTTTAACAGATTGATGCTGTGATATTTATACCAATATATCTATGAGTAGCTACTTCTGAGGCAAAGACAGATTGAAAACCTCAAACGCAGAGTTTTATATTCCTTTTCAGGAGCAGCAAACGGGGACTTCTTAGGCAAAACATGGCAAAAAGGAAATGGACCTTGTGGGGTCTGCTGTATATAAAATTCACAACTATACCCAACAGGAGAGAAGATGATGATAAAAATGAACTTCGGCTCCCTGGCTGTGCCGAAGGGAAGCTCTGTGGTCACTGAGGCCCCTTTGGTGGCCTACACACATATTCTCCACAGAAGGAGTCGGGTCCAGAAGGGGGATGGAAGCTGCTTTGAGAGAAAGTCAGTCGTCCCCACATCCTTTTTAGCTCCTCGCCCTGTAGGAACACTGTACACCCACCTGGGGTGTTGAGATTTGGCAAGGTGATCCACAGTTGTGATTTTTTGAATTCCAACCCACTGGCCTCATATTTCTTCTGCCTTGTTTCCGATTGTCAGCACTGGCCGTCCTCCAGTTTGATTTGACCACTAATTGTGTTGCACGTTACCGTACCGAAATGAATCAAATCAAAATGCTTTTCCTGGAGCATTAGATAAAGCAGGCGAAGGTTCTGAGTAATGAGCAGATGCTGCTAATGCAGGGACAGTGGAGACCTTGCCAGGACTCCATCTGCTCCATGCTTGCCTGCCTCTGGCCCCGAGCCACAG